AGGCTCCATGGTGTCACCCCCTAAATGGTGTCACCCGGGGTGGCCCCCCCTTCCCCACCTTACGACACCCCTAATGACAGTGGCAGCACATCTGGGTGAGCAGATGTTGAAGACACTAGATTTTCGGTTGGTGACTCCTCTGTTGTATGCTTTTGAAATACTTCTTTGAAATTATGCTAGCCAGATTAGTGATGGAACTGGATTAGTGATTGCCGGATCAGTGATGGCCAGCCTGTATAAGAAAACTATACATTGACTTTGTCAATGGTCCAAGTCGGACCGAAATGTCGTCGTAAGCTTCTCTCTTTTATGTGCGGGTTATTTGTGTATCGTTCCAGTCACGGTATTGTGTTTTTTTGTTATTTATGTATAAGAAAACATGCCCGGGGTTTCCACCTGTGCTGGGGATTGAACTATGGACACTCAGTATGTGAGTTAGGGAGTGCTACCAACTGAGCCACTGCTTATGACTGGTCTTAGATGATTTGCTGTTGTAGATTCTGTGATGCATCACTGCTCTGTTTTACCCTTTTTTTATTTTCTAGAGTTTACAATAAGGTATCATTGCTTGCTGCAGATTTAGCTTGAGAACAATACTTTTTGATATGCTAGTGAAAAATTCTGAGCACTAAAGAGTGGCTTATTTCCTTGTCTCCTTAATCCACATGTTCAAACTTCTCTTTTTACCCTGAAGTATTGACTTTTTTGACATTCTACAATGTGTGTTTGCAATGTTTTACCCTGTAATATTGACTTTTTTGACATTCTACAATGTGTGTTTGCAATGTTTTACCCTGTAATATTGACTTTTTTGACATTCTACAATGTGTGTTTGCAATGTTTTACCCTGTAATATTGACTTTTTTGACATTCTACAATGTGTGTTTGCAATGTTTTACTCTGTAATATTGACTTTTTTGACATTCTACAATGTGTGTTTGCAATGTTTTGCCCTAAAGTATTGACTTTTTTGACATTCTACAATGTGTGTTTGGTATGTTTACCCTGAAGTATTGACCTCTTGGACACACTACAATGTGTATCTGATCTGTTTTACTGTGACTTTCTACATGTAATAATGTGTGTTTTACCCTGCAGTATTATTGACTTTGACATTCTTTTTTTTACCAGGTTCCAATCTATACTACTCATTGTGCAAGCTCTTATTTTCTTCCCATTGCCTTTTAATTGTAAGGATGGTTGAGTCTCATAGACCAAAAATACAGGCTTACAGCATCACACATGGACACTCGTGTAGCTTACCTAAGTTTCCACTTGCTTCAGTTTAACCAGAGCTTTATGCTTATTCTTTTGCTTGGCACCTCCACTATCACTAGTATATCGCTTTTGGGCCATAGTTAATAACCAGACATGAGATGGACTGATGAAAATACAGCAGACCCCCGCATAAAGATCAACTCCCAATGCGACCAATTATGTAAGTGTATTTATGTAAGTGCGTTTGTACGTGTATGTTTGGGGGTCTGAAATGGACTAATCTACTTCACAATATTCCTTATGGGAACAAATTCAGTCAGTACTGGCACCTGAACATACTTCTGGAATGAAAAAATATCGTTAACCGGGGGTCCACTGTATTCACAATCATTTGATGTACACGAGCCTTGAACACAATGCTCCCAGGAAGCAACTGCTGGGCAGTGTGGGTGTCAGTGAGGAAGGTGAGGCAGTGTGAGTGTCAGTGAGGAAGGTGAGGCAGTGTGGGTGTCAGTGAGGAAGGTGAGGCAGTGTGGTTCAGTGAGGAAAGGTGAGGCAGTGTGGTGTCTATGGAAGGTGAGGCAGTGTGGGTGTCATGAGAAGGTGAGGCAGTGTGAATGTCATGAGGAAGGTGAGGCAGTATGGGTGTCAGTGATGGAAGGTAGGCAGTGTGGGTGTCAGTGAGGAAGTGAGGCAGTGTGGGTGCCAGTGAGGAAGGTGAGGCACTGGGTTCAGTGAGGAAGGTGAGGCAGTGTGGGTGTCAGTGAGGAAGGTGAGGCAGTGTGGGTGTCAGTGAGGAAGGTGAGGCAGTGTGGGTGTCAGTGAGGAAGGTGAGGCAGTGTGGGTGTCAGTGAGGAATGTGAGGCAGTGTGGGTGTCAGTGAGGAAGGTGAGGCAGTGTGGGTGTCAGTGAGGAAGGTGAGGCAGTGTGGGTGTCAGTGAGGAAGGTGAGGCAGTGTGGGTGTCAGTGAGGAAGGTGAGGCAGTGTGGGTGTCATTGAGGAAGGTGAGGCAGTGTGGGTGTCAGTGAGGAAGGTGAGGCAGTGTGGGTGTCAGTGAGGAAGGTGAGGCAGTGTGGGTGTCAGTGAGGAAGGTGAGGCAGTGTGGGTGTCAGTGAGGAAGGTGAGGCAGTGTGGGTGTCAGTGAGGAAGGTGAGGCAGTGTGGATGTCAGTGGGGAAAGTAAGACAGCGTGGGTGTCAGTGGGGAAAGTAAGACAGCGTGGGTGTCAGTGGGGAAAGTAAGACAGCGTGGGTGTCAGTGGGGAATATAAGACAGTGTGGGTGTCAGTGGGGAAAGTAAGACAGCATGGGTGTCAGTGGGGAAAGTAAGACAGCGTGGGTGTCAGTGGGGAAAGTAAGACAGCGTGGGTGTCAGTGGGGAATATAAGACAGTGTGGGTGTCAGTGGGGAAAGTAAGACAGCGTGGGTGTCAGTGGGGAAAGTAAGACAGCGTGGGTGTCAGTGGGGAATATAAGACAGTGTGGGTGTCAGTGGGGAAAGTAAGACAGCATGGGTGTCAGTGGGGAAAGTAAGACAGCGTGGGTGTCAGTGGGGAAAGTAAGACAGCGTGGGTGTCAGTGGGGAATATAAGACTGCATGGGTGTCAGTGGGGAAAGTAAGACAGCATGGGTGTCAGTGGGGAAAGTAAGACAGCGTGGGTGTCAGTGGGGAAAGTAAGACAGCGTGGGTGTCAGTGGGGAATATAAGACAGTGTGGGTGTCAGTGGGGAAAGTAAGACAGCGTGGGTGTCAGTGGGGAAAGTAAGACAGCGTGGGTGTCAGTGGGGAATATAAGACAGTGTGGGTGTCATGGGGAAAGTAAGACAGCATGGGTGTCAGTGGGGAAAGTAAGACAGCGTGGGTGTCAGTGGGGAAAGTAAGACAGCGTGGGTGTCAGTGGGGAATATAAGACTGCATGGGTGTCAGTGGGGAAAGTAAGACAGCATGGGTGTCAGTGGGGAAAGTAAGACAGCGTGGGTGTCAGTGGGGAAAGTAAGACAGCGTGGGTGTCAGTGGGGAATATAAGACAGTGTGGGTGTCAGTGGGGAAAGTAAGACAGCGTGGGTGTCAGTGGGGAATATAAGACAGCATGGGTGTCAGTGGGAAAGTAAGACAGCATGGGTGTCAGTGGGGAAAGTAAGACAGCGTGGGTGTCAGTGGGAAAGTAAGACAGCATGGGTGTCAGTGGGGAAAGTAAGACAGCGTGGGTGTCAGTGGGGAAAGTAAGACAGCATGGGTGTCAGTGGGGAAAGTAAGACAGCATGGGTGTCAGTGGGGAAAGTAAGACAGCATGGGTGTCAGTGGGGAAAGTAAGACAGCGTGGGTGTCATGGGGAAAGTAAGACAGCATGGGTGTCAGTGGGGAAAGTAAGACAGCATGGGTGTCAGTGGGGAAAGTAAGACAGCATGGGTGTCAGTGGGGAAAGTAAGACAGCATGGGTGTCAGTGGGGAAAGTAAGACAGCATGGGTGTCAGTGGGGAAAGTAAGACAGCGTGGGTGTCAGTGGGGAATATAAGACAGTGTGGGTGTCAGTGAGGAAAGTAAGACTGCATGGGTGTCAGTGGGGAAAGTAAGACTGCATGGGTGTCAGTGGGGAAAGTAAGACTGCATGGGTGTCAGTGGGGAAAGTAAGACAGCATGGGTGTCAGTGGGGAAAGTAAGACAGCGTGGGTGTCAGTAAGGAAGGTGAGGCAGTGTGGGTGTCAGTAAGGAAGGTGAGGCAGTGTGGGTGTCAGTAAGGAAGGTGAGGCAGTGTGGGTGTCAGTAAGGAAGGTGAGGCAGTGTGGGTGTCAGTGAGGAAGGTGAGGTAGTGTGGGTGTCAGTGAGGAAGGTGAGGCAGTGTGGGTGTCAGTGAGGAAGGTGAGGCAGTGTGGGTGTCAGTGAGGAAGGTGAGGCAGTGTGGGGTGTGGGTGTCAGTGAGGAAGGTGAGGCAGTGTGGATGTCATTGGGGAAGGTAAGACAGCATGGGTGTCAGTGGGGAAAGTAAGACAGCGTGGGTGTCAGTAAGGAAGGTGAGGCAGTGTGGGGTGTGGGTGTCAGTGAGGAAGGTGAGGCAGTGTGGGTGTCAGTGGGGAAAGTAAGACAGTGTGGGTGTCAGTAGACCCAGCTTCAATATGAGGAAAAAAATATATTTCATGTATTGCCCAGATTTTGCATATAACTTAGTTTCCACAAGCTTACTATCAAGGTTATTTCGTGTACTATGCTGTCAGTATATACATGAAGAGGTGTATGTCTCAGGTGTATACCTATACACCAAGAGTTTGCTTTAATTCTTATTTTAGGAATTAAAGTATTCTTGACTGGTGGTGAACAGGTAATATGCAGCAGATTTTAAGTAATTAGTAGATTTTAAGTAATTAGTAGATTTTAAAGTACAGTGGACCCCCGGTTAACGATATTTTTTCACTCCAGAAGTATGTTCAGGTGCCAGTACTGACCGAATTTGTTCCCATAAGAAATATTGTGAAATAGATTAGTCCATTTCAGACCCCCAAACATACACGTACAAATGCACTTACATAAATACGCTTACATAATTGGTCGCATTCGGAGGTAATCGTTATGCGGGGGTCCACTGTAATTAGTAGATTTTAAGTAATTAGTAGATTTTAGGTAATTAGTAGATTTTAAATAATTAAACATCAAAATATTATGTGCTATGCAATTTTTGCTGCTCTTTTTTGATTGCATTTACAAATTGTACTATCTAGTGTCTTTTTTTATAAGAAGTTTATTGTATTTTTTTATAGACTGAACAAAATATGAGTTTTTCTTTTAAACAGGGTGAACTAGAAGGCTCAAAGCTGTACAAAGATCTGGAGGAGCGTGCTCGCCAGTTCTTCATAACAAACATCTTGTCTGGGGCCAGCTCTGAGGATAACGATGTTCTCTCTGCTGGGGCCATCATCATCAAGCTGCTCGGAAAAGTTAATGTTGATTATGAGTTTTACAAGGAAAGGGCAACAAGGCTTGTTCCCCCAGATGGTAAGTTCACTCTTTGATATTCTGAATGCAATACTGTGCAGTATATGCACATTAAGAGATGCATATCTTGTAGCATAGATACACTGACTTGTGGTGTACAAGCAAAATGCATCTGGTAATAATGTTGGTAGAATGACTGACGGTGTGTTAGGTAAAAGAACTCATGTACAACTAATGTGACATTTTTATTGTGGCAAGGTTTCGCTCTCCAGGAACTTTGTGAAGCTGTTACGTAATGGCTTGACAAAGCTCCTGGAGAATGAAACATTGCCAAAATATAATGCCACATTAGCTGCATGTGTGTCCTTTTACCTTACAAAATGCATTTTTTTTTTTTTAACCTAGAGTATGCTCAGTTGATAGGCTTAAAACCAGACAAACAATACACAAATAACCCCACTCAGGTGAGAAAGAAGCTTTTTTGCATATTAATTAATACATCGGCTGTTTCCCACAAGGCAGGGTGGCCCGAAAAACAAAAACTTTCATCATTATTCATTGCATCACTGTCTTGCCAGAGGTGTGCTTACACTACAATTATAAAACTGCAACATTAACACTCCTCCTTCAGAGTGCAGACACTGTACTTCCCATCTTCAGGATTCTTGTCCAGCCTACCAGTTTTCCCTGAATCCCTTCATAAATGTTACCTTGCTCACACTCCAACAGCATGTCAAGTCTCCACTGAGTCCTATCTAACATGTTCACTTATGCTTGCTAGAAGTCCAGGCCCCTTGCACACAAGACCTCCTTTACCCCCTCCCTCCAACCTAGCCTAGGCTGACCCCTGCCCCGCCTTCCCTCCACTATACTGTTCCATTCCAACCTCTCTACATGTTCGAACCACCTCAACAACCCCTCCTCAGCCCTCTGGATAATACTTTTGGTAACCCTTCACATCCTCCTATTTCCAAACTACAGATTCTCTGCATTATATTCACACCCATATAAGACCATTGGTATAACTGTACTCTCATACATTCTCCTCTTTGCTTCCATGGATAATGTTCTTTGTCTCCACAGAGTCATCAGTGCACCACTCACTTTTTTCCACTCATCAGTTCAATGATTCACCTCATCTTTCATAGACCCATCTGCTGGCATGTCCATTCCCAAATATCTGAATACATTCACCTCCTCCATACTCTCTCCCTCCAATCTGATATCCAATTTTTCATTACTTAAATTTTTTATCCTCATCACTTTACTCTTTCCTATATTCACTTTTAATTTCCTTCTTTTACATACCCTACCAAACTCATCCACCAACCTTTGCAACTTCTCTTCAGAATCTCCCAAAAGCACCATGTTATCAGCAAAGAGCAACTGTGACAACTCCCACTTTGCGTTAGATTTTTAATCTAGTAACCCCACACCTCTTGCCAACACCCGAGCATTCACTTCTCTTACAACCCCATCTATAAATATATTGAACAACCGTGGTAACATCATACATTCCTGTGTAATGCTTAGTTTTTTATTTATGATGACATTTTGATCCTACTTGGACCATTAAAAAGCCATGGAATGAGAGGTTTGCTTGCAGCCGTGTTATTATGATTTCATGAGTTGATTTGTACCATTAACCAGTTAATGATATAAGTCTGATCAGAACAAAACATCCCACTTGGTAATTCCTGCTTCATATTTGCAAATATACAGGGTTTGAAATCAAATAAAAATGACAAAGTTAGTTATGTCAGTGAGCTATTGACAGAAGCGAATGCCATGTTCGGAGCATTTACAGAAACACATACGAGGGATGTTTTGGATGGAGAGATAAAGATAGAAAACTACAACATGTACAGATGTGATAGAATCAATAGGTCACAGGGAGGAGTAAGAATCTATGTAAAGGATACTTTCTATTGCACAGAAGTGCTGAATTCTACGAATGATATAGTAGAAATTCTAGGCATTAAAGTTGAAAATGGGAATTTGGTAATTATCCTAGTATACAAACCACCATCGGCAACTATTGAGGAATTCACAGATCAGTTAAGTAAGATAGATAGCTATCTGGATAGGCTAGAAAGTCCTACACCAAATATTTTACTCCTTGGAGATTTTAATCTCCCTCAGGTAAAATGGAAGATGGCACAACATAATGTTATACCAGAAACATCCCCGGGAAGCACCCTGGCTCAACAGGTACATACCAGGGAAATAATGAGGTTTTGTGAAAAGTACTCTTTAAACCAACAGGTAATTGATCCCACTAGAAATAAAAATACCCTGGATTTGATTTTCACAAACAACGAGGAACTGATCAGAGACATAACAGTTTCCAAAACTATTTACTCTGATCATAACATCATAGAGGTTCAAACTAGTATTAACTCAGGGGTAGGAAACTGCATCGCTAAAGTTAGAGACGGGATGTTCAGTAAGTTTAATTTTAACAACCATAGAATTAACTGGAAAAAAATAAACCAAGAGCTATCAGACACACCCTGGGAATCAGACATGAGCACCCTAAATCCCCACCAGTGCCTAGAGAAGCTGAATACAGAAGCATACAAAGTATGTATGAAACATGTACCATTGAGGAAACCCAGAGGAAGATCAGATATAGAGAGAGCGTAGGAGATGGTACAGAAGAAGAAAACGGGTTACTGAACTGCTTAAAAACACAAATATGCTACAACAGAGGAAAGATAGACTTAGCAGAGAGATCACTGAATTAGAGCAAAAACTTAGGATGTCATACCTCACAGAAGAAGTACAAAGGGAACAAAGGGCCATACAAGATATTGCAAGAAACCCCAAAATATTTCTATTCCTACGCAAAGTCCAAGCTAAGAACTACCTGTAAAATTGGACCACTACTGAGAGGAGACTCGTATACTGACGATGAACAGGAAATGAGTGAAATCCTAAAAGAACAATATAAGTCAGTGTTCAGCAACCCACTAAATGACAGCAAGGTAGAAAATGCAGAAATATTTTTCACTCCAGAAGAAAGTCGCACAGACCAACTAACTGACATTAGTACAAATCCCATAGATTTCGAAAAAGAAATGGAAAACATGCCCACTCATTCAGCACCTGGACCAGATTCATGGAATGCTCTATTTATAAAGAAGTGCAAAGTACCACTAGCACAAGCCCTCAGTATTCTTTGGAGAAAGAGCTTTGATCTAGGTGAAATACCGGAGGCCTTAAAGAGTGCAGACATAGCTCCTTTGCACAAGGGAGGCAGTAGAGCGCTAGCTAAAAATTACAGACCAGTAGCCCTAACCTCTCACATCATAAAAATCTTCGAAAGAGTGATGAGACGGCAGGTTACAGATTTCATGGACCAGCGCAACCAACATAACCCGAACCAGCATGGATTTAGAGGAGGACGATCATGTGTGTTACAGCTGCTGAACCATTATGACAGAATTACAGAGGCACTGGAAGATGACCAAAACGCAGATGTGATTTACACAGATTTTGCAAAGGCGTTTGACAAATGCGATCATGGAGTGATAGCGCACAAAATGAAGGCCATGGGCATTATGGGGAAGGTAGGCAGATGGATTTTCGGTTTCCGAACACACAGAACACAAAAAAGTGGTTGTGAACAGAGCAAGATCCAGCATCAGTGAGGTCAAAAGCTCAGTGCCCCAAGGCACTGTCCTGGTACCTCTGCTGTTCCTCAGCCTCATAGCAGACATAGACAAAAACACCCGGCACACTTTTGTATCATCATTTGCAGATGACACTAAAATAAGCATGAAAGTCAGTATGGTAGAGGACACTGAAAAAGTACAGGAAGACATAAACAGGGTTTTCCAGTGGGCAGTGGAAAACAACATGACGTTCAATGGTGATAAGTTCCAGCTGCTTAGGTATGGAAAGAATGAAGAACTCAAAAGTAACACTATATACAAAACTCGAGAGGGTCACCAAATAGAACGTAAGGAACACATAAAAGACCTAGGAATAATTATGTCAGCGGACCTTTCTTTTAAAGACCATAACAAGACAAAGATCACGACAGCCAGGAAGATGACTGGGTGGGTATTGAGAACTTTCAAAACAAGGGAAACATTGCCAATGTTGATACTCTTCAAATCGCTAGTGCACCCTCACTTAGAATATTGCTCAGTGCTGACGGCCCCGTTCAAGGCAGGAGAAATATCATAGCTGGAACAAATACAGAGATCGTTTACAGGCTCACATTGAGCCAGTAAAGCACCTAAACTACTGGGAACGCCTGCAAGTCTTGAACATGTACTCATTGGAGCGGAGGAGAGAGAGGTACATGATAATATATACCTGGAAGGTACTCGAGGGCTTGGTCCCAAATCTGCACACTGCCATAACAACATACTGGAGTGAGAGATATGGGAGGAAGTGTAAAATAAACCCAGTGAGGAGCAGGGGTGCCGTGGACACAATAAGGGAACACTGTATCAACATACGTGGTCCCAGACTTTTCAACATCTTACCAGAAGATATCAGAAACACTGCTGGAACAAGTGTTGAAGCCTTCAAGAGGAAACTAGACAAGTATCTTCACCAGGTGCCAGATCAACCAGGCTGTGATGGCTATGTGGGGCAGCGGCCTCCAACAGCAACAGCCTGGTTGACCAGGCGGGCACCAGACGAGCCTGGCCCATGGCCGGGCTCAGAGAGTAGATATACTCAAGAAATTCTTCAAAGGTATATCAAAGGTATATGTGCAAGTTATTTGTATATTGTTCCAGTCATGGTATTGTGCTTTTTTATTCTTCAAACAAACAAACATGTTAAAAATAGTCTCAATTTTTATTTTGTGATGTAAATGTAGACCTAAGAGTGTTATTTATGTGTAAATACCACCATACGTTATGGGAGTGGTTATATCTTAATTTATTTGCAGATGATAGTTGGCTGCAGATTACGCCCGATGCTCTGGATGAATTACTTGAAGCTCAGTTTGGCAGTATGGATGTGCCTAAAGGTGCGGATGAAGCAGAAATGATGAACTCGCTCTCAGCTTTCCTTGGGCACATGTCTGATCTAGAAGGTGCGGAGGTGCCAAAAGACCTGCAAGATCGGATTAGGAAGCTCTCGACACTTTCTACCGGACGAAAGAGCAGTAAAGGGAGAAAACCTTCTAGTCTTATGGTGAATCCTCAACTCCGTAAGGTCTCCGCACAATCAACTGCTTCTGACACATCTAACTTTTCTGATATGTCTTCGCTCTCCAACAAAATTGACTTTAATGCAGATTCCTTCACTGATGCAATGGCTAATATCTTGGGTAAGTTGTAAGTGATGTTTTGATGTACAATACGGAGCATCCCTAAACCAAGAAGTTAAGTTCGTGTCCTCCAGTGTATGAACCAGTTTTAACTTTGATTCTGTTTTCCTTTAGAAAGAAAATACTACAGGTTCTTCTTCACTTATGATGGTTCAACGTATAATATTTTGATTTTCCAATGGTGCAAAAGTAATTACATACTTTGGAGATGAAACTTGAGATAATTACAGGATTATATAAGAGAAGGTGTTACCAGCCCCTTTCTCTTAGCATTATAGTCACCTCTCATGATGCGAATGGCTTATGGAGGAAGAATTCCTGTTCCACTTCCCCATGGAGATCATCTTCTTTCTAGAAATCGACTGTTTCCCACTGAGGCAGGGTAGCCTAAAAAGAAAAACAAAAGTTTTTCTCTCTAACTTTAGTAATGTATACAGGAGAAGGGGTTACTAGCCCCTTGCTCCAGGCATTTTAGTCAACTCATATGACACACATGGCTTATGGAGGAAGAATTCTGTTCTGCTTCCCCATGGAGATAAGAGGAAATAAGAACAAGAGCTAGTTAGAAAATAGAAGAAAACCTTGAGGGGTGTGTATATATATACTTGTACATGCATGTGTAGTGTGACCTAAGTGTAAGTAGAAGTAGCAAGACATACCTGAAATTTTGCATGTTTATGAGACAGAAAAGACAACAGCAATCCTGCCATCATGTAAAACAGTTAAAGGTTTTTGTCTTGACTCGACTCAAGAAATCGTAATGACATGATTGCAAACAAACCATACCGCGGGTTCAAATCCCGCCCGTGGTATGGAAAGATTTTTGTTTCACACTGACTTGGCAGGGCAGTAGTACCTCCCTGGGTAGTTGCTGATACCAACCTACTACTAGGAGTAGTTATTTATTTACTTTTTAATTTAGCGTATACAGTAGGGCCCCGCTTTACTGCATTCTGCTAATACAGACATGTCAAATTATGACCAAAACTCGCTATACGGCTCCCCCACCTGACTTTCTAATACAGTCACCATGCCCCACCCGGTTTGTTTACATTCTCCATGAGCACCGCGTCTCTCCATATTGTCTGGAAACTTTCCAAAATTTCAAGTCCTTTCAACCCTTTCAGGGTCCATGCCATAGATCTACGGCTTTACGTTCAGGGTCCAAACTGTAGATTTACACCATGAGCTCAGTTCACTCTGATAAGCTGTGAGTGGTAAATTTGGGCCTATATATGAGAGAATAGTGGGATAAGTCTGTTGAGTATACCTGGTAAAGTGTATGGTAGAGTTACTATTGAAAGAATTAAGAGTAAGACAGAAAATAGGATAGCAGATGAACAAGGAAGCTTTAGGAAAGGTAGGGGGTGTGTGGACCAGGTGTTTACAGTGAAACATGTAAGTGAACAGTATTTAGATAAGGCTAAAGAGGTTTTTGTGGCATTTATGGATTTGGAAAAGGGGTATGACAAGGTGGATAGAGGGGCAATGTGGCAGATGTTGGAGGTTATGGTATAGGAGGTAGGTTACTGAAAGCAGTGAAGAGTTTTTACGAGGATAGTGAGGCTCAAGTTAGAGTATGTAGGAAAGAGGGAAATTATTTCCCATAAAAGTAGGCCTTAGACAAGGATGTGGATCCCAAACCGTGGTTGTTTAATATATTTATAGATGGGGTTGTAAGAGAAGTAAATGCGGGGGTCTTGGCAAGAGGCGTGGAGTTAAAAGATAAAGAATCACACATAAAGTGGGAGTTGTCACAGTTGCTCTTTGCTGATGACACTGTGCTCTTGGGAGATTCTGAAGAGAAGTTGCAGAGATTGGTGGATGAATTTGGTAGGGTAAAGCAAAAGAAGAAAATTGAAAGTGAATGCAGGAAAGAGAAGGTTATGAGGGTAACAAAAAGATTTGATGATGAAAGATTGGATATCAATTGGAGGGAGAGAGTATGGAGGAGGTGAATGTATTCAATATTTGGGGGTGGACGTGTCAGCGGGTGGGTCTATGAAAGATGAGGGGAAATCATAGAATTGATGAGGGGAAAAGGTGAGTGGTGCACTTAGGAGTCTGTGGAGACAAAGAACTTTGTCCTTGGAGGCAAAAGGGAAATGTATGAGAGTATAGTTTTAAACCGACGCTCTTATATGGGTGTGAAGCATGGGTGATGAATGTTGCAGCGAGGATAAGGCTGGGGGCAGTGGAGATGTCATGTCTGAGGGCAATGTTTTGTGTGAATATAATGCAGAGAATTTTTTAGTTTGGAAGTAGAGGAAGTGTGGGATTACCAAAACTGTTGTCCAAGGGCTGAGGAAGGGTTGTTGAGGTGGTTCGGGCATGTAGAAGAATGGAGCGAAACAGAATGACTTCAAGAGTGTATCAGTCTGTAGTGGAAGGAAGGAGGGGTATGGGTCGGCCTAGGAAAGGTTGGAGGGAGGGGGTAAAGGAGGTTTTGTGCGCGAGGGGCTTGGACTTCCAGCAGGCATGCGTGAGCGTGTTTGATAGGAGTGAATGGAGACAAATGGTTTTTAATACTTGACGTGCTGTTGGAGTGTGAGCAAAGTAACATTTATGAAGGGGTTCAGGGAAACCGGCAGGCCGGACTTGAGTCCTGGAGATGGGAAGTACAGTGCCTACACTCTGAAGGAGGTGTGTTAATGTTGCAGTTTAAAAACTGTAGTGTAAAGCACCCTTCTGGCAAGACAGTGATGGAGTGAATGATGGTGAAAGTTTTTCTTTTTCGGGCCACCCTGCCTTGGTGGGAATCGGCCAGTGTGATAATAATAATAATAAAAAACATCTATGTGGTATGTGTGCACCACATAAAACAAATCCTGCAGCACACAGTGTATAATGAGAGAAAAAAAACTGAGACCGTGATTTTCGATTAAAACAGTGACTTTGCAGTGTTTTTTCGTATTTTTTTTTTGGTTGTATTTGTGATTTCTTCTTCTCATTTGAGCTTAAAGTAGCGGAAATGTTAAATTTTTGCCGATGTTCAAGAGTAAACAAACGACCTCACACGTCTAATACACACCAGCTGGCGAGTCTAATATACATTCACAAATGTGGTGATGATGTTTACACAATTATTACAATATTGCATAACAGTAAATCTTCTATTTTTTGGTTTGAATAAAAATTCATTATGTGAATAAAAAATCAAAATGGAATTCATTTGTAAAGTCTCAAAACGTAACTAATGAACAGAGGAAATGTTAGTTTAGTGCCAGGAATACCTACATTGTTTATTCTGGGCCCTATTTTGAAATTGGAATATTTTGAACTTTGTGTTAAATTGGCCAAATTACCAATTTCCAATCACTTTATTTTGTAGTTGAAACAGTTGACTTGGCGATTTCTTGTGCTCAATCGATAGAATAGAAGTAATACTAGTGAAACAGCTAAGAATTTGATCGACTGGAATAATGTAATTGGCCTAAAATGGGAGTAAAAGTCGGCAAAATCGCCGATTCGTAAATATCGCTGACACATCAAAATTCGCGAGAGCATAATTTCGTCAATTTTCCATCAAATTTCGTACTTTTTGTTTTATTACCTTCAGAAAAAGATTCTCTACCATTTCATAAGAAAAAATAACAAATTTTTTTTTTTAAATTCTTGGACCCTGGTGCGCACTTCAAAATTTGGCCTCTGGACCCTGAAAGGGTTGAAAGTTACTTCATATTGTATATATACTTTGATCTTTATACTTATGTATACCTGTACCTAAATAAACTTACACACTGTGCTGGCGTGCAGGTAAACATTAAAATCAGTAAGAGTGTCCTGTGTCTCGAGACACCATATTATTAATGATAATTTTTTTTTTTTTTTTTAACAAGTTGGCCATCTCCCACCGAGGCAGGGTGACCCAAAAAGAAAGAAAATCCCCAAAAAGAAAATACTTTCATCATCATTCAGCTCTTTCACCTCACTCACACAATCACTGTTTTTGCAGAGTTTAGTCTAATATGTTTATTATGCACCCCATACCCATCCTGTGGGTGGTAGTCAAAAGATTACAGAGGTACATAATTGGTCCAGGGACTGGGCTCCAAAGTTTTGATAGCTGAGTGCTCAGAACACAACAGCTTAGAAGCATATACATATAAAGATACACAGCATATCCCTCCAAACCGTCAATATCACTCAATAATCACTTGAGTTTCATTTTCAATAATCCATCTATGATATTTTTTCAAAATTATATAACAAAAATTATACATAACATATAAATATGATAAATACACCCACAGTAGAATAAATTAACATAAATATGAGATGTGGTAGCCAGACGATTTGTATGAGTGACTGTAAGAATAACGTTTTCTCTAGTCCAACATCAGAGAAAATGTGCACACTATAATATTACTGGGGGCAACTGTAGAAAATTATTTCTTTCATATGGCTTCACTCGGTGTTATTTCTAAAAAAAATGGTGTTACATGAGAATGGGAGTGTTGCTTTCTATTTATTCTACTGTATCAACATGGAGACAGCTTGTACACAATGTAACTTGTACACAAACCGGACGCATTCGCCTGGTTTGTTTACAAAACTCGTGTCCACCTGGTTTGTTTACATAACTGTGCACCCATCCTCTCTCTTGTACTCATTTCTCTCTCTCTCTCATTTATTCGTTTTTTCTCATTTACTCGCCTTTGACCCCTACATTAAGACTACAAATATTTTAAGTAATGAGTGAACTGTATATGCATTTTATCGCTCTGGGATGCTTTAAATGTCATAGAATATTATGTGTGGGTGGGTTGGCCTGGTATGGTAGCCTGACTGGCTACCATACATACCACACTTGATTTCTTAAAATAAATACTACTCATCTCACTCTACATTAAGACTACAAATATTTTAAGGTTAGTAATGAATGTACTATATGTGTATTTTACTTTCTTATTGCTTTTTAATGCCTAGTTCTATTGTTAACTTAATATATGCTAGTGTAAACTTGTTATTTTCATATAGTCGGACTTGAGTCCTGGAAATGGGAAGTACAATGCCTGCACTTTAAAGGAGGGGTTTGGGATATTGGCAGTTTGGAGGGATATGTTGTGTATCTTTATACGTATATGCTTCTGAACTGTTGTATTCTGAGCACCTCTGCAAAAACAGTGATAATGTGTGAGTGTGGTGAAAGTGTTGAATGATGATGAAAGTATTTTCTTTTTGGGGATTTTCTTTCTTTTTTGGGTCACCCTGCCTCGGTGGGAGACGGCCGACTTGTTGAAGAAAGAAAGAGTAAACTTGTTATCTAGTATTTACATACATTTATAAGTGGGGAAAAAAAAGGGGTGTTCCACTTTACAGCAGTAGTCTGGAACCTAACCTGCTGTATAAGTGGGGTTCTGTTGTATTCATATTCGACTTAAGATATTTTTTACTTATACGTAATGGGTTTGTCAGCGTAACCCCATCATTAGTCGAGGAGCACCTGTACGTATTGCCGTTAGTAAGACAATTATTTTCATGTACCTCGTTCCTTAGTGTGGATGTTTGTAACTTTTATCCCTTCAACAGTCGTGCCTTGATGCTGGTGAAGGGCTTTTGATCCAAGGAAATGGATCTCTCTTTCTTGAATCAAACCTGACTACCTCCAATTTCCTAAGTGCTGTGTGACCTCTACAGGTCACACAGTTGAAACACAAAACCAATAAGTATCATACAGACGGATGTGCAAAATTAGGAATGTGCTAAGTTTAAGTGATTGAAGGGTTATGGACATGAAAAGGTAAGGGTTAATGGAGGTGGGGTTAATGGAGGTGAGGTTAATGGAGGTGGGGTTAATGGGGGTGAGGTTAATGGAGGTGAGGTTAATGGAAGTGAGGTTAATGGAGGTGAGGTTAATGGAGGTGGGGTTAATGGAGGTGGGGTTAATAGAGGTGGGGTTAATGGAGGTGGGGTTAATGGAGGTGGGGTTAATGGAGGTGGGGTTAATGGAGGTGAGGTTAATGGAGGTGGGGTAACACACTGGTTGTCTCTCACTGAAGTTAGATGACCCCCCTTGCACAAAAAGAATAAAAGATTAATCACATTTTCCATCATTCATTCAATCACTTCTTTGCCAGTAGTGCTCTGGCATCACATTCAGATGAACATCCAAACTGCAGGTGTAAGTAGGAGGTGTAAGTAGAGTGCAGGCACTCTACTTACACCTCCAGGACTCAAGTTCAGCTAACCAATTACCTGGAATTCCTTCATAAATGTTACCTTGCTGATGCTAAATGAAATATAATAATAAGGAGACACAATAAATTATTATTTGTAGTGAAATATTGATTTAACGGGCAATAAGGAAGGAGGTGTAGAGTAATGACAACTGTTAAATCCCAGAATGAATGTTTGTCCATGTTTGTAACATTAAGTAACATTTCTGAAAATTATGCACATAGTCAATGAAATCTTAAATCAGTTTATTCAACACATGAGACGGCCGACTTGTTGAAAAAAAAAAAATGAGACTAATAATGGGCAGTTCTGGAAACTATGGGCTTTATCCATTAAATTTGAAGTTGGTTTACCCATCTATCTGGAACAATGATAGACAGTGGATTTTGTCTGTTAATAAAAAATCCATTAAGTGTAGGTGTTTCAAATAGAGCTTTTTATTTTGTCTAGAAAAAAAGTATCCTACTTTTTACTAGACACTTTTTCTAGATTATTATTTTGTGGATTTATAAGAATATTGTGAACTTGAAAGATTTGTATGGTGTGAGAAATTACCAGTATGAGATTTACAGGTATTACCTGAATTCTTCTTTCTTCTTTCAACACACCGGCAGTATCCCACAGAGGCGGGGCGGCCTAAAAGAAAAAACGAAAGTTTCTCCTTTTATATTTAGTAATATATACAGGAGAAGGGGTTACTAGCCCCTTGCTCCCGGCATTTTAGTCGCCTCTTACAACATGCATGGTTTACGGAGGAAGAATTCTGTTCCACTTCCCCATGGAGATAAGAGGAATTAAACAAGAACAAGAACTAGAAAGAAAATAGAAGAAAACCCAGAGGGGTGTGTATATATACGCTTGTACATGTATGTGTAGTGTGACCTGAGTGTAAGTAGAAGTAGCAAGACGTACCTGAAATCTTGCATGTTCATGAGACAGAAAAATGGACACCAGCAATCCTACCATCATGTAAAACAATCACAGGCTTTCGTTTTACACTCACTTGGCAGGACGGTAGTACCTCCCTGGGCGGTTGTTGTCTACCAACCTACTACCTAGATTACCTGAATTATTACATACAAATAATTTGGGTGAGGTAAGTGGCACTTACTCACAAACCTGTCACTCCCTCGATGCCCACTCCTTCACCACTCTCACAAAAAGCTAGACCTAACATTAAATTAATAATTAACATTAACAAAAAAACTAGGTACTCTGGTAAATTAAAATTATGTGGACTGTATAAAATTCAAAAGAACCAATCTCCAGTAAGGATTAGTGGGAATGCTAATACACAGAGAAGGTAAGAATTTCCTAATTAACTTTATACCTGTATATGGTAACAAAATTTCATACCCTAACCCCTACCTTACAAATAGAATCTAAACTGGCCAGTCAGTAATCTAGTTGCTAGGTAACACTGGCATACTTCCCTGGGTGAGCTGTGACAATGCCAGATAGTTGACATTTTATCACCACTGACCAGTGTTCGCAGATTCAGTTTTCTTTATGACTTCTCCCCTCGGGTCAAAAAAAAAAAAAAAAAGAGAGAGCCCTGACGACCAGCAGCCAACCTTCCACTTCCATGTCACCGGCAGCCAACCTTCCACTTCCGTGTCACCGGCAGCCAACCTTCCACTTCCGTGTCACCGGCAGCCAACCTTCCACTTCCGTGTCAACCCCCCCCCCCTCCCTCCCAATCAATTGGAAGCACTCACTCACTTCCTCACAAGTAGTTTAGTAGTTTGTGACTACCATTAATATGCCATGTTTACATTACCACTGAACATTATATTAACAATTATAGGAAAATTATAAAAAGAAATCCACATATGGTACCTGAGAAAGGGAAGATAATCAGGTTTGATCCAAGGAAGGAGGAGTAGGATAGCTTAAACTCTCTTCAAACTTGATAGTTGATAATCCACCCCTTTTTCTTTTTTCTCTGATCGATATTGATTTAGCATTCCAGAATCAACTTTATTAACGTTTTTACTTTATTTAAATCTGCTTCATTTTTAATTTATTGTTTGCTTAGAACTGCATTAATTTTTTAATACTGGCCGTCTCCCACCAAGATAGGGTGACCTAAAAAGAGGAAACACATTAATGGTAACCCGCTGTAAAATCGTCTTGCTATAAGTGTGTTGATATCACAGCTCAGATGACCCTTTAAACTGTAGCATCCTCACCCCTCCTTCAGAGTACAGGCATTGTATTTCCCATCCCCATCTCTCTTAATTCCTTCACAAATGTTACCTTGTTTGCACTCTAACAGTATGTCAAGTCTTAGAAAAATTACTTGCCTCCACTGTTATCTAACACACTCGCACAAGCCTGTTGGATGTTCAAGCCCCTAGTAGTCAAGCTCCTTTACCTCCTCCCTCCAACCTTTCATGAGATGACCAATGCCCCTCCTACTCTCTACCCCAGATTCATATGCCCTTCTAGTCATCCTGTTTTCATCCTTTCAAATAACCATGACTCAAGAAATCGTAATGACATGATTGCAAACAAACCATACCCCACGACGGGCTGGAGTTTTGAGACTCTGTGACCGCGGGTTCAATCCCGGCCGGGGGTATGGTTTGTTTCAAATAACCACATAACCTCAACAGTCCCTCCTCAGCCTGGTGAATAATACTTTTGCCAAATCCACATCTACTGATCTCCAAGCTCCATAATATTCACACCACACATTACCCTCAAACATATTCCCACTGCCTCTTGCCACAGCACCATTTGTTTTATGTACGTATTTTTATCGTAGGCGAATAAAATGCCGGGAGCAAGGGGCAAGTAACCCATTCTCCTGTAAGCATTACTAAAGTTAAAAAGAGAAATTTTTGTTTTTCTTTTTGGGCCACCCTGCTTTGGTGGGATATGGCCGGTTTGTTGAAAGATTTTTATTGTGTCGTATCTTCAGGTATTTATAAGCTGATTAACTGAGACCTTTCACTCGCACACTTTTCTCAGGTTTTAGCTAACACATAACTTACATACAGTAGGACAGCCATATCCATGGGTCTGGTTTCTCCGGTTTCAGTTATCCACTGTTTACCCTGGTCTAAAAATAACCTTTGATTTTGTTTAATAATGACACCAAAGTGCAAAAGTACTGATGTTGACATTTCTTCAAAGCCTAAGAGAAGTCATGAAGTGCTTCCCATCAGTGAAAAAGTACTAAATTCTCGACTTATTGTGCATAATTTATCAATTAAACTTCATCATAGGTATGTCTGTAAAGGAAAAATTACTTAGTAAGATTAACTACTATCCACAGTTTTGGGTGTCCAGGGCAGGTCTTGAAATATATCCCCCGCAGATACGGGGAACCTACTGTATTTCAAAAAGCATTTCATAATACAGGAAGGCACTAACTTAAAAACCCCAAGTCTTATAATTTTTAAGCAACATTTCTCTAAATTGAACTCTGGGCTTAAGCCACTCCCGTCTCCCAGATTAAAACCCTGGCTTAACATGCCCCAGATTGAAATCATGGCTTAAGGCACCCCAAAATTGAAATCCTGGCCTAATCAAGGTTCCCCAGGTTAAAGATCTGGGTTAGTTAAGGTACCCCAGGTTAAAATCCTGGCTTAAGGTAACCCATATTTTACACTGGAGGTGGACCTCTTTGTACAATACTGATTAAATAATTTTTTCCTCAGAACTAGGTGTCCCTGAGGATGATTACTGGAATCATTCAGAAGATGAATCATCGGGCATGAGTAGTTATGGAGAAGAAGAGACAGGTGATGTGAGTCTGAGCCGCAAGTCATCCAACACTCACAGAAATCTGCCGCATCAACTGTGTCGGCATCATCATCAGGCGTCGACACACACATGAAGGAATACATGAGGGAGATGGAGAGAGAACTAGCAGCCACCAACCTCGCAGACACAATAACTTCCAACCACAATGAAAGTGATGGTGATGATGAATTTGATGATGTGGAGGATTTTTCACCAGTGAAGGTAGACATGAAAGCTGTACAAGATTTGGTCAAAACATACACTGCACAAAATGGCATGCCAGGGCCAGCTTCTTCACTTCTGGGCTCTATGGGTATCAAGCCTAAAAAATTGTAGTTCTTCTCTCAGCCTTGTGAAGTAATTTTGGTGTTAATCTAATGCACAAGCATTTACAGATGTTATTACAGTCTGCTCTCTTATAATGCTCCTATATATAGTGTTACATTATTTTATAAATGCAATTGGAAAATTTCATTCAGAATTGAATAACATGTGCCGTGATGGCCTCTCCACTCACTCTTCAGGAATGAATAAAGTTTTTCGATCACATTTACGAATGACACTATAAAGAGAAGCTTTATTTAAATTGTGGTAAAGTGTTTGCTTTTTTAATTATTGTGTTTGTGAGGAAGCACTAAACCCACAGGGATTAAATAGTGCATTGGGAATGGGAGGTAATTGGATTTGATTCAAAGGGAGGGGAGCTACTCCAGTTACTTGGATCAAGAAGCCACAGGCATCATGGTACCTTCCTCTAAAGGACTTTCTTTCAGACAGGTAATCTCATATTTAGCAATAACAACTTATGTCCTGCAAGGTTCCTCAGTGCCAGTAATGGCTCTTGATCCAAGGAATTGAACCTGTCCTCCCATTCCTTGGATAAAACCTGATTGCCTCCTGAGGCTTCACATATCCCCTACAAGTTTAGTACTTCTACCAAATATAAAAATAATATACGTATATTCTGTACATGTACATATACCTGTATGTATTTGTATAAAGAGATGATTAAAAAGCTATTATTAAAGGCTGATTTAATTCATTCAGTGGCTTGTGCATAACAAAATCTATGAATATAAAGTTTTCTGCAGGGTGTGAGGTAGCTGCAGTGGCATCAGTCTCTTATGTGTTTCCCAGAGTGTGTGAAAAGTCAATAGCAATGATAGTCAAATCTATTGATTTTCTGCTCAACTGTGATTGTATTCTAAGTTTTTTGTTTTGCTTTCCACACCTTTTGTTCAGGTGAAAAGGGAGATCCTTACATTTAAGTAATTTTTTTGCATTACTTATTGACATTTCTGCTTTTATAAAAACATTTGGAAAATTTGGCATTATTCATAGTTTTTTTTGGTTAATATATACAGAAATATAAAAGGTGTAATAAGCACAGGTCAGTGATACAAATGAACCCAAATGAAGAAAATAAGAATTACCTTAGATTTCTGTCTAAAGCTAAGGCACTCATAGGCAGTCTCTCCTGATGAGTTCTTGGATGTAGTCCAAAATTTACTGTATTCTTCAGCTATATTTTCTCCACTGGGGTTGTTTGTGTCATGTACAGGGGTATGTATGGAAAGTGTAGTTGCAGGTCTGTTAAGGTCACACATTTCCCAATATATAAAAGAAGGGTATTATTTCTGTGCCCATAAGTCACAGAAAAAGAAACGATGTTAGTCTTACCGTTGGCATTATTACCAAGTAAGGTGTGTGTGTGCTGGAGTATCACTGCCTTATTACTAAGGATTCACTGGTTGAATATAACTCATTTTTTTATCCGAGGCATTCGTTGGTTAGTGACACTCAGTCTTATTCTGGTGTCTGTCTGATACTTTCCTATTATTTTGTGAATATAAAAACTTTAGAACAAGTATTCATATACAGGTATTATATAGACAAATATATATACAGTATATTTTTTTTACATGCGTTTATACATTTATATGTTAGGTTATTTTAACACTAAATCTAAAATAATTTATTGAATTGGCATATTTATTTTAAGAGTATTTTTCCGAGGATACAATATAATTGACATACAAAAATTATATCCAGGTATCAGATATCTTCCAAAGGTTTCCTTAACAATGAGTACAAGCTCTTTCTAGTATTTTTTTTAACAGGTAAAAATTCAGAGGCTGAAATAGTTGTAAAATATTTTGTTACCATAAATGTAAGATAAGATAGAGAGGATATTAGAGTAGTGTGATACAGGTGTAAATACACTGCATAATTGGTTTATAGTTTATAGTGACACTGGATTGGCTTACCTATTTCAGTTGTATATACAATACATTCAATATTAGACGTCTAGTAATTAAAACAATTTTGTGTTAAGCGTAAGAAGCTGATAATGCCGGGGTGTGGCTGCTAATTCCTTGCATGGATTCCCTGACATTTTTAAACCTCTCAAAACACAATGACAAGGATCTAACCCTCTTTGTTTTACAATGTCTATGAACCCTTTTGTAACTTTTTTTTGGCAATAAACATATCTGCATGTTGAAATTTTGTTTCATTTTTTTCATCATTAATTTATACCATTTCACTAAAAAATATATTCCTCCAAGTAATTAATTAATAGGTAGTAGGTTGGTAGACAGCAACCACCCAGGGAGGTACTACCGTCCTGCCAAGTGAGTGTAAAACGAAAGCCTGTAATTGTTTTACATGATGGTAGGATTGCTGGTGTCTTTTGTCTGTCTCATAAACATGCAAGATTTCAGGTACGTCTTGCTACTTCTACTTACACTTAGGTCACACTACACATACATGTACATGTTTATTTATACACACTCATCTGAGTTTTCTTTGATTTTATCTTAATAGTTCTTGGTCTTATTACTTTTCCATGGGGAAGTGGAATAAGAATCTTTCCTCTGTAAGCCATGTGTGTTGTAAAAGTCAACTAAAATGCCGGGAACAATGGGCTAGTAACCCCTTTTCCTGTAATAATTACTAAAAAGAATAAGAAAATTGTCAAAATGGAAAGTCTGAATGTGCGTGGATGTTGTGTGGGTAAGAAAGAGATGATTGTGGATGTTATGAATGAGAAGAAGCTGGATGTCCTGGCTTTAAGTGAAACAAAGCTGAAGGGGGTGGGAGAATTTCAGTGGAGAGGAATAAATGGGATTAGGTAAGGGGTTTCAAATAGAGTTAGAGCTAAAGAAGGAGTAGTAATAATGTTGAAGGATAAGCTATGACAGGAAAAGAGGGACTATAAATGTATTAATTCAAGGATTATGTGGAGTAAAATAAAGGTTGGATGTGAAAAGTGGGTTATAGTAAGCGTATATGCACCTGGAGAAGAGAAAAGTGTAGAGAGAGATTTTGGGAAATGTTGAGTGAATGCATGGGAAGTTTTGAGCCAAGTGTGAGAGTACTGGTGGTTGGGGATTTCAATGCTAAAGTGGGTAAAAATTTTGTGGAGGGAGTAGTAGGTAAATTTGGGGTGCCAGGGGCAAATGAAAACAGGGAGCCTTTAATTGAGCTATGTGTAGAAAGAGGTTTGGTAATGAGTAATACATATTTTATGAAGAAGAGGATAAATATACAAGGTATGATATAGCACGTAATGAAAGTAGTTTGTTAGATTATGTATTGGTGGATAAAAGGTTGATGGGTAGGCTCCAGGATGTACACATTTATAGAGGGGCAACCGATATATCGGATCATTATTTAGTTGTAGCTACAGTGAGAGTAAGAGGTAGATGGGAAAAGAGGAAAATGGCAACAACAAGTAAGAGGGAGGTAAAAGTGTATAAACTAAGGGAGGAGGAAGTTCAGGTGAGATATAAGCAACTATTGGCAGAAAGGTGGGCTGGTGCAAGTATGAGTAGTGGGGGAGTTGAAGAGGGCTGGAATAGTTTTAAAAATGCAGTATTAGAATGTATGGCAGAAGTTTGTGGTTATAGGAGGGTGGGTGCAGGAGGTAAGAGGAGTGATTGGTGGAATGATGAAGTAAAGGGTGTGATAAAGGAGAAAAAGGTAGCTTATGAGAGGTTTTTACAAAGCAGAAGTGTTATAAGAAGAGTTGAGTATATGGAGAGTAAAAGAAAGGTGCAGAGAGTGGTGAGAGAGTGCAAAAGGAGAGCAGATGATAGTGGGAGAGGCACTGTCAAGAAATTTTAATGAAAATAAGAAAAAATTTTGGAGTGAGTTAAACAAGTTAAGAAAGCCTAGGGAACGAATGGATTTGTCAGTTAAAAACAGAGTAGGGGAGTTAGTAGATGGGGAGATAGAGGTATTGGGTAGATGGCGAGAATATTTTGAGGAACTTTTAAATGTCGACGAAGAAAGGGAGGCAGTAATTTCATGCACTGGCTAGGGAGGTATACCATCTTTTAGGAGTGAGGAAGAGCAGGATGTGAGTGTGGGGGAGGTGCGTGAGGCATTACGTAGAAAGGGGGTAAAGCAGCTGGAACTGACGGGATCATGACAGAAATGTTAAAAGCAGGGGGGGGATATAGTGTTGGAGTGGTTGGTATTTTTGTTTAATAAATGTATGAAAGAGGGGAAGGTACCTAGGGATTGGCAGAAAGTATGTATAGTCCCTTTATATAAAGGGAAGGGGGACAAAAGAGATTGTAAAAATTATAGAGGAATAAGTTTACTGAGTATACCAGGAAAAGTGTACGGTAGGGTTATAATTGAAAGAATTAGAGGTAAGACAGAATGTAGAATTGCGGATGAGCGAGGAGATTTTAGAGTAGGTAGGGGACGTGTAGATCAAGTGTTTACATTGAAGCATATATGTATTTAGATAAAGGTAGGGAAGTTTTCATTGCATTTATGGATTTAGAAAAGGCATATGATAGAGTGGATAGGGAAGCAATGTGGCAGATGTTGCAAGTGTATGGAATAGGTGGTAAGTTACTAAATGCTGTAAAGTTTTTATGAGGATAGTGAGGCTCAGGTTAGGGTGTGTAGAAGAGAGGGAGAATACTTCCCGGTAAAAGTAGGTCTTAGACAGGGATGTGTAATGTCACCATGGTTGTTTAATATATTTATAGATGGGGTTGTAAAAGAAGTAAATGCTAGGGTGTTCGGGAGACGGGTGGGATTAAATTATGGGGAATCAAATACAAAATAGGAATTGACACGGTTACTTTTTGCTGATGATACTGTGCTTATGGGAGATTCTAAAGAAAAATTGCAAAGGTTAGTGGATGAGTTTGGGAGTGTGTGTAAAGGTAGAAAGTTGAAAGTGAACACAACATAAGAATGGAGGAATACTGCAGAAGGCCTAATGGCCCATGCGAGGCAGGTCCTTATCAAAACGATGAGGGTATCAAATGATTTAGATAAAGAAAAATTGGATATCAAATTGGGGAGGAGGAGTATGGAAGAAGTGAATGTTTTCAGATATTTGGGAGTTGATGTGTCGGCAGATGGATTTTTGAAGGATGAGGTTAATCATAGAATTGATGAGGAAGAAAAGGCGAGTGGTGCATTG